TTTTCAATACTAATCCACATACTGAAATTATAAATGGAAACCTGGCTAAAACCGAAGATTTGCAGTTTGGAGGCTGCTGTGAACAGATTTTTTCGCATCCATCTCTCCATAGTATAATGTACGTAGTATACGGTTTTTCTTAAGATGTTATTTTCACGACTTCATCCTTCAAATTCTGGTCTGTTTTACACATAGAAACAAAACCCACATTTAAAGCAGAATTTTCAGGCCTTCAGCTAAAAGCTTGAGGTCCATTTGTTTGGTGCAACTATGCGTGACGTTGTTGAATCACGTTTTCCACACAGCGCTGATTGCTTCCATCAGAAATACACTGACTGCACCAAACAGGAGCGCACCGCTTTCCAAAACAATAGACAGTTATTTCGTTCCGTTTGAATCCCTCAGGTAGACCTGCTGGCTCTCGTTCGGCCCTGAAACCCTGCCGAGGCGCTCATTTACACAGACTCACACGTGCATGCACGATCTTGCGTGCACACTCACAGGAAGTCTGCAAGGCTTCAGTCTAAGCTTGTCTTTTTCCGTCTGCCCGGCCAAGACCTGTTACAGCGCCGCTTAAGTTCAATCTCCTTCCAATCACTGGAGTGGCACACCGACACACACACACACACACCGACACACACACACACACACAAGGTGAATTGTCCAAGGCGAAGGCGCACACATGTGTTTGTGTCTACATCTGACTTCACTGTCTGGCTTCACGAGAGAAACAGTGAGTTGAGACAGATGTAGGACTTTTCTGCAGACCAGATGTGAGGATCGTCTCTCTGTGCCCTCCGATTGTCTGGAAGTCTTTCACTGGCAGCTGCTTTTCTTTAAGAAACAAGGAAAGCAGAAAAATGGAAACTCTAAGTACACAGGATTTCAAGTGTTTATCAGGAACCTATAGTGGACGTAGTACAGCTGAAACCAGAAGTTTACATCCACTGTATAAAAAGACATAAAACCTTTTTATTCTCACCGTCTGACATTAAATCAGACTAAACTTTTCCTGTTTTAGGTCAGTCAGGATCACCAACATTATCTCTGTTTGCTAAACACCAGCATAATGAGAGAGAGAACTTTTTATTTNGAGCGTCTGCAGCCACACTAGGAACTATTGTACTTTGGCACAGAGGAGTTTTGAATGACGTTTACATGCTGATGTTTGACATGTTTACTGTTTTAATCCAGCATTTTATGTACGCTAATGTTGGCTAATTATCACCAAACACGCAGTAGAGTTGAGGGTGATGGCGGCTTTGGACTGTGATGCTCAGGGAGGTGCAGATGTTTCCAAGAACGACCCCTTGTTCACCCCTTTCAGCCTTCCTTCCTTTTTCCATCTGACAGCTTAGATGGTGAAGCTCTATACAACACACAGCGGAGGGTTTGTTATTTAGCCCGTACAACGGGTTTATGTTGTTGACGCCGATGTTAGAGAGGAGACGACGGCTGCTGAGCATCAAGAAGACAGACAAAGTGGCCTCTTTTCAGATCTTGCCGTTCAGGCTGACCTAAAGTGGCCTGAAAGTTCCCACTGTGGAAAAATGTCTGGACCAGACTTCATGACAATTCATCCAATATTTTATTTTTTTTTTTTGACTTACAACCACAAATGTAAACTGTGGTAAATATTTAGATGTTTTCTGGGAATCTCAATGTTCAGGATCACCACGTCAGGGAGGCGACAACACTTTCCTTCTGAGACAGGCCTGCATGTCAATGAGAATTGTCTTTATGGCTCAGATCGTACGGAGGCTCAGGTCTTCTGCACACATCCAGCTGTTGGTGTGTTTCCTCCTGGATCAAACAGTTTGACCGACAGGCCGACGCTGGCAGCTCGGCTAAAGAATGTTATCGAAGACTTCCCACAGCATCGTCTCCTCCAGAGTCTGTTCATGTATGAAAAGAAGTCTAAAGGGAGTAACGTAACACTGGTGCTTGTTATGACAGCTGCGTTGGCAGGGATTTATTTTGAAGTAATATTACAGGGTTTTTCTTGGATGGCAGCAAAGGCCTGATGTTTAAGCTGACAATCCAGTATCTGCAGGACTACAGGTCTGATGCCCGCAGCAGCGTGGCGTCTTATTAAAGTGTCACGGAGCAAGACTCAGACTGAAGCCTTTACTTGCTCACACATCAGAAGTCACTCTGGTAAAGTGCTCTGGCTTGGATGTAAATGGATTATTAAAAAAAAAAAAAAAAAGTGCCATTCAGACTGAGAAATGTAGCTCATTGTTATTGGCTGTTTGGGAGCCGGGCCAAACAAAAGTTCTGGTGCCACACAAATCGCCTTTCCTCTTTGATGCTGGCTTCAGCACGGTTGCTGACCTTAATGCATTGTGTGTGTGTGTGTGTGTGTGTGTGTGTGTGTGTGTGTGTGTGTGTGTGTGTGTGTGTGTGTGTGTCAGTCAGGCTTTGATCGTTAAATTAGGTGAAGTCCCGAGTGCACATCAGCTGAATGGCTTTCAGGAGTGAACCCAGCAACACCCTCCTCGCTAACAGCACTTCCACTTAATAACGCTCCGCCACCGTGTGTTTGTCAATTCAGTTCAATTTAATATGCTTTGTTGGCATGGAAATTGAGAAAATATTGCCAAAGCATCGAGATAGAGAGCAGAACGTTTCTCTCTCTCGCTCACCCCAGGAAGTTATTTTTAGTTTGTGTGCATGCGTTGTTGTTCGGCCGATTGAACAGACACGTTAGCGACGAGCACGACAAACACACAACTAATTACAGCAGAAGGTGCCGACACACTCGGTGGCTCGTCCTCCCTGCGATCTGAATCAGTTGGTGGAGGGTGTGTGGATGGGTGTGGACCTTGTAAAAGTCAAGTGATTTATCTTATTGGCCTCCTCCTGTGTGGTCCTGACACACACACACACACACACACACACACACATGTGAATGGTATAAAAAGACTCATTTTCCTTCATGCACAGACGATGGCATTAGGCAGAACGGACCAGGCTGTCACCAGTTCCCCCGTGTCTCTGGTGTCCGCTCTGTCTTCAGACCTGTTCTTTGTTGTTGCTGTTTTAAAACGTATAATCAGGGCTCAGCTCTGTCTCATGCATTTCATTGCACCTGTGGTTCTGAATACATATTTGCAGATTTTGCAGGTCTCAGTGGACGCGTACAGTGTTACTGCTCCACACACACGTTTGCAAATATTTTTGGTTCAGTAAAACCCTGTTTGGTTCTGAAAACAGCAATATATCACCCTGCATCAGGCAAATATGTGATAGTTTAAGCAAAATTCAGGCGAGTGTGTTTGAGGTGTGCCTTAAAATACATCCACAGGTGTGCCTCCAATTAACTCACGTGTTGTCAATTAACCAATCAAGAGCTTCCGAAGCCATGACATCATCATCTGGGCTTTCCCAAATAGTTTGTAGGTATCTTAGTGGATGTAAACTTCTGACTTTGAAGAAAGTAATAAAAAAAATCCTCTCTCACATTATTCTGGCATTTAGCAAATAGAAATGATGTTGGTGATCCTGACTGACCCAAAACAGGAACAGCTTGAAGTTCTGATTTAATGTCAGACGGTGAGAATAAAAAGGTTTTATGTGTTTTTATACAGTGGATGTAAACTTCTGGTTTCAACTGTAGATGGAGTGATAAAAAAAGATAAAAGGCATGAGAATGAAATAATGATATATAAGATATGTGTCAAAGGTTTGAGCTGCTCCAGCACCACAGACTGCTCATTTTTATAAACACTGACAGAGCAGCAGAAACAGTAAAGTGACTTGAGAAGAGACTCGGTCTTTGTCTCTGCTGTAGAGACGGTGAGGAGCTCCTGTCTCAGTACAAACCTGAGACGGTAAACTACGTCCTCAGTCTCCCTGACAGCTGTTACAGAAGGTGTACCGACCCCAAAGACACTGAAGGTGGAAGCAGGTGAGTAACATCGGCCAAACAGGACATTTTACTGAAGCGACACAGCGCTTTAAATGAAAATGCCCTTCAATCTTCTTTTCTCCTCTCCTTCAGGCCAAGCTCTCGCTGTTCGGTCCAGTCCAGCGCTGAAGATGAGATTGAAGCGATGATGGAGAAGCTGAATGTCACAGAGATAACCCAGGTGGTGGACCGCCTCAGGTAGGTGGAGCACAGTGTTCCCATCTGATGGAGTTTAGAGGCCTGAAAGCAGCTGTCAGTAATTTAGTCATATTGTTGTGAAATCTCATATTTTCCTAACAATTCAAAAGCAATATGATGAAGGTCATTCCTACTAATAAGCATTCATACATTAGTCTCCTGGATTTTCAGTTCTGTTTAGTTTTTGGAGCTCTATTGTTCGTCTCAGATCATCGTCTGGCTGCATGTCGTTGCTCTCACTGTGTTTCAGTGACGAACCCCTAAAATGGTAAAAGATCTGCACCTAAATCGTGCTTTTCTACCGTAGCTTCACTCAAAGCGCTCTACAGTGTTTCCCATTCGCACACCGGTGGCGACAGAGCT